ATAGTTGGATGGCTAGTTCATGTCAAAATGGCAGAAGGTCTCCAATAGCTATGCCAGGGTTCTCTGCTTGGCCCTGTGCTATATAATCTTCTTATTAACTTAAATAAAGGCCTAGATGAGCACACTCATAGAATGGGAAGAGGACATAAAGCTGGGAGGAATAGCTAAGACAGAGCCACCATCCAAAAGGACCTTGACAGGCCTCGGTCAGTCAGTTAAGAAACATTTTTTGAGCACCTACTATGTACCAGGCACTGTGCGAAGCACAGAGTTGAAACAAACAGTATTAAATTCAGTGGAGATAAGTGTAAAGACTATCACTTGGGTATAAAAAGTCAACTTCCCAAGTACAAATACACTGATTAAATTCAGTGGAGATAAGTGTAAAGATCTTCACTTGGGTACAAAAAGCCAACTTCCCAAGTACAAAATGAGGGTGGCATAATGAAACATCAACTGTTCTGATAATGATCTGGGGGTCTTAGTGGACTGCAAGTGGATAGCAGTGCTTCTTCTTGGTATCATTTTCACTGATAGAACCATATCCTTTTCTGATGTTGAACCATATGATAATGCCAAGGACTTTGGTGGGTGGTGAGAACTCCCTTTCCTGATCCTCAGTAGCTGTGGCTACTGAAATACTTGCAGAGACACCCATCAGGTCACATCTCCATAAGGGGTGATCTGTGGGATGGGAATGACAGCTTCAGGGGCTGGGCTGATTTACGCGATCTTGGGGAAATCACTTAAGCTCCCTGGGACTCAGTTTCCTCAACTGCAAAATGAGGTGACCTCTAAGATCCCTTCTAACCATAGGTCTCTGAGGCTGCTGTAATCCTCCCAGATCCAAATCTATGATTCTAGACGGTATCTAGGCACCTCATTTATAGCCCTGCCTGAAGGCAGGGGGATGGCTCCCATGACCCTGGCTGCTTTCTTTCCTAAGATTCTCTTTGTGGTTGTTTTGACAGCAGGGCCCAGCATGCTGGGGTTTCAAGGAGTAGTGTAGGGGAGGAAGGGCTCTGCTATTCTCTAGACGCGGGATTCTGAACTGTCTCCAACCAGAGTTGAGGGGATGTCATGATGGAGATGGTGGGGATGGCTTGACTAGCTCGTCACATGCTGCTTCCTGTGTCTTCCTCAGGGTGCCTTGCTGATTCAGCTGGGCTGGCTTGCCTACCCTGTGGTCATCTCACACATACGTTCCTTTGCCTTTGTTCTACCTCATCCATCCCCCCACCTCCAATCCGTCTCATCCATCCCCCTGCCTCCAGTCCACCTCGTTCATTCTCCTGCCTCTGGGCTATTGAAGCCCAGACATAAGAGATCTGTTTAATTCTTTTAAATAGTAATCTTGACTTATTAGCTCACCCTTCCCTAAGGAAAAAACTCCTAAACCTCTGCGTGTGTATAAGGGGAGTAGGAATTGGAAGGAGGGGGAGATGCCAGTGAAAGGAGCCGTACCTGAGCAGCTATCTATTGTGACCAGGGTTTGAAACCCAAATCAATTTCGAGGGTCCCTGCTGGAAGATACTGGACTGGCTGGCCATGCCCAGTGTACTCAGAAGGGAGGCGTGTTCTCGGGCGGCGGCTGAGCCCCAGCCTGGGCTGGTGGCGCCATCCTTCCAGGGACACCCTCTGTTTGGGGTCTGAGTGGCAGCTGGGCTTGGGGCAGGATGAGAAGGCAGGTAGCCTGTGTTGGTCCAGCAGGAAGCTGTGATCCAGCCTATCGATGGCAGGGGCCAATCAATGCTATCTCTCTGGGCCATGCTTGGGCAGCTATTGATTTCCGCTGTTGTTTGTTAACTCGGTGTTTATGTAATGCCTGAACTTTGCACAACTGAGCCATTTAATGTGCAGGAGGGGGCCCTGTTGCCATGAAGACAACCCTACAAATGACAAGCCTGAGTGTGGCTGAATGTATTCTAACCTTGATAAGTCAATAACTTTTCCTATAAAGGGAGACCTGGGGCAGCCAGTCTGAGGAAGGGGGATGGGGGGGTGCTGTCTGTCTTTCCACCACCTTAATCCCTGCAAAACTCCTTGAAGCCCCAGTATGCTGGGTCCTGCTGTCAAAATAACCACAAAGAGAATCTCAGGAAAAAAAAGAAACAGCCAGGGTCATGGGAGTCATCCCCCTGCCTTCAGGCAGGACTGTAGGTGTCTAGATATTGCCTAGAACTGAAGATTTGGAGCTGGGAGGATTACAGCAGCCTCAGAGACCTATAGTTAGACAAAATCTTAGAGGTCACCTCGTTTTACAGTTGAGGAAACTGAGGCCCAGGAAAGTTAAGTGATTTGCTCAATATCATCCAAGTAAATAATTATTAGAGATGGGATCTGAGCCCTGGGCTTACAAGTCCCAGAGCGAAAGTGACTTGCCCAAGGTCACTCAGGCAAGATTCAAACCCAGATCCTTTAGCTCCTGACGGGGTGCACTATAATGCACTGCCTGTGTGCACTGAGCTTGGGGGATGGGTAGAGGAGACGGTGAGTCTTCCATATTTTTTCCAAACCTGGGCCTCAGTTTCCCCTAGCTACAAATTGAAAATGTTGATCTCTAGGGCCCCTTCTGTCCTAGGGGGTCTATGATTCTAGGACGTGTGTGTGTGTGTGTGTGTGTGTGTGTGTGTGTGTGTGCATGGTGAGGCTAGGATCAATTTTCCCTTTCTCAGTTTTTCCCATTTCCCTTAGTGCCCTCCCTCTACCCACAGCTCACCAGCTGTACTTTGTCCCCCCACCCCTTCCCCCACTCTGAGCCCCTCCTCCTCAGCCTTATTCTTTTCCTTCCCCCATCAAAGGCCCCAGGAGTATTTCAAGGTAGCACAGGTGGGGGGCTTCCCTTGGTGAATAATGATGTTATGGTGTGTGTGTGTGTGTGTGTGTGTGTGTGTGTGTGTGTGTGTGTTTCCCGAGGAATATAAAGAGCTCTTTCTTTCCTGCTTATTAATAGCCTTGATTAAATTATCTCGGAAAAATCTAAGTGCTGCTCACCAATGGGAAATGTCTTCTCATCTCTGGCCTAGATTGTGGCAAGGAGGGCAGGGGAAAAACAGTGTCTTGGCCTTCAATGAGGGGAAGGATGTAAGGAGAAGGGCAGGGTAGGGCATGGGGACTGAGTGCCCCAGGCCTGGCTGAAGCTCTGAGACCTGCTGGGGCCACTCCCGGAAGGGCCTGGTGCCTGGCCTCAAAATTCCTAATGCAGTGGGCAGCGGGGGAAAAGGGTAGATCTCAGTTCTGGTCCCACCTGCCCCCAGCCCCCTGATTGCCCTCTGGGCTCTCCATGAGGTTTGGACGTGATCCTGAGCCTGCTCCAAGGCTCAAGGAGCAGAGACGCGCCCTCAGACCACTGCCCTCCATCCCCTGCCCAGCCCTCAGCCCTCCAAGAAATTTCCTCTCTCCTCTCACTCCATCAGGGATATTAAAATCATAAATCTAAAGCTGGAAGGGAGCTCAGAGACCATCCAATCCAACCTCATCATTTTACAGAAGAGGAAGCTGAGCCCCAGAGAGGTTGACTTGCCCAAGGTCACTGAGGCAGAAAGTAACAGCTGGGATTGAACCTGAGCTCTTTCCAAAGTGCCACAGAGTCTTTCTGAGACCACCCCAACCCCGCACCCCACTGGGATCCCCTTGTCCTCCATCCTGAGGAAACAGGACAGCTCCTTCCCTCCTAGGCTGGAAGTTTCCCCCGACCAACCGTAGCAAATCCATCTTGACATGCCTCCCTCCTAATGCTGAGTTATAGACTGGGGAGATAGAGCAGCCGGCTAGTTCAGAGCCTGGGGCAGGCACAGGAGATGAGGGGGAGAGGAAGGCGGGGGGCTGGGGAGAGAGAGGAAGGAAGACACTGGCAGGAAACCAGAGGAGCCTTTGGCCTCGGGATCAGCCGGTGACCTGCTTCCTCTCTCTAGCAGTGACCTCAAGGATCTGTTCTGAGCGTGCGTGTGCACGCGCGCGCGCGCGCGTGTGTGTGTGTGTGTGTGTGTGTGTGTGTGTGTGTGTGTGTGTGTTTCTGTGTGTCTATGCATCTCTGGGTGGATTTGCATATGGGTGTGTCTCTGTGTGGATTCAACCTAGTTCAACAAAGGTTTAGCTCTCATCACCCACTGGGTGCAGATTCCTATGCTCTGCCATGGAGATAGAAGGATGAAAAACAGCCCAATCCCAAACCCGGAGGAGGAAGGGCCAGATGCCCAGCACATAGTGTATGCCTGTTCCCTGTGGGTGCAGTCTCTCTTCATGCAAGTAGCCCCCGATGGTCTGCATTAGAGTGTTCTCTCTTATACCCAACACAGGAATTCATTAAATGGTCCTCAATCAATGATTTTTGATATTTAACCTGAGAAGGGGAAAGGTTAAAGTAGCATTATAATGGTGGTGATATTTTTTTCTCCGTATCCATTAAGATTCCAGAAAGCAGAATGATCCCTCCTCCCAGCTCAGATAATCTGTCCCTGCCAGGTCAGAAATCTCTCTGTACTAAGGTCCTTTCCAGCTCTGACTTCCTCTATTTTAAGATCCTTCCAGCTCTGACCATTTTCTGTTCTAAGGCCCCTCTCAGTTCTGACATTCTGTGTTCTATGGTCTTGTTCAGCTCTGGCATTCTCTGTTCTAAGGTTCCCCACCACCACCACAGCTGTGACATTCTGTCTTCTAAGGTCCCTTGCAGATCAAATATTCTGTCTATGCTCTAAGTAGCACCTGAAGCACTGACCTGCTCAGAAATCCTAGATCAGCCCAGCTGCAGGTTTCCCAGGATCCTTTGGGAAAGCTGGCCAGTGACCTCTCTAGCCACCATCTCTCTCTTTCCAGATTCCCTTCATTTCCCTTCTGCCAGGGCCATCTGGGTAGCTAGAGTGCCTGCCCTCCCTCCCCGCCCCTGCCTGGGCTCAGGTCACATGCTCACCTGCTGCTGCTTACTCCCCACCTGTCAGAATCCCCCACGTTCCACATCACACTCATCTCCACAGCAACCACTTGTGATGTCACATGCAGAGGCTGGAGGAGGAGGGAGGGGAGGAGGCAGCTGGAGGAGCTGAGCTCCTGAGGCAGAGACAGATCCCGTTTCCAGGTAAATATCCCCCAAGGGGCTGGATGGGGGGAAATAGAGCAAGGAAAGAAAGAGAGAGAAACTAAAAGGTTCTAGGGAATCTCAGCTCAGCACTTTTCCCGAGAGGGAGACTCAACCATCTCAGCACTGACCTGAAACAAGGGCAGTTTCTGCCCTAAATAAATGCAGATGTGTCCTATATGGGAGACTTAGCACCAGGTAGATGGATTTTTCAGCCGCAGGACCATCTCCTAAAGTTATTGAGGGATCACGGTGGAAACAAAACACACCATACCAAAACAGATCACACACAGATCCTGAGAGCAGTGAAGCCAAAAAGCAGTGTGGTATAATGGAAAGGGTACTGGAGTTAGAAGATCTGGGTTCGAATTCTGGTTCTGCCTGGGTGATGGAGCAAGGCATTTAATCTCCCTGGGCCTCGGTTTCCCCCTTTGTTATATAAGGAAGAAGGTTGAAGCACATAGTTTCTAAGGTTCTTTCTAGCTCTAAATCTATTAACTCAAGAAGATAGTCCCTTATAATCTTAGGATCCTGGACCAATGTTCTTTATACTGGATCTTACTTTCAACTGTCATAACCAGGTGAACCTCTTCCCTTAATAAGAGATAGAATGTAAACTCCTTGAGAGCAGGGACAAAAGCATTTCTGTTCCCCCCCCCCCCAATACCTAGCACAGTGCCTGGCACATAGTACAAGTCATGACTCTGAGTCAGAAAGACCTGAGTTCAAGTCCCACTTTTGACACCCATTGGTTGTGAGACCCACCTTGGGCAAGTCACGATTTCTCAGGGCTCTAGGTACCTTTCTAAGGCACAAACAATTGCAGTTTTGCATTGATTGGGGGTGGAAAGGGACTTCCTCATGAGGAGTTCCCTACATGCATGAAACCCCAGATCTGTAACAAAATAAATACAACATGGGGTTGCCAAATCTAATGACCTTATCTCAGTCCTTATCTATGAGTTCTCTGCAGCCTCCAACATTATGAATTACCTCCTTCTCCTGAATCCTCTCCCCTCTCTGGGTTTTAGTGACACTATTCTCTCTTGGTTCTCCTCCTAACTGCCTGACCACTCCTTCTCAGCTTCCTTTGGTGGATCTTCAGCCAGATCAAGGTCATTAACTAGAGGGTCCCAGAACTGTACTGTTAAATATTTAACTACCAGCTCTTCAAATATATATATACATATATATGTATATATAAACAAGACACTTTAAAAAATTTCTCCATCATTTAAGTTTAGACAATCAATAAAACAATAAATCCAGCCCTGAATTATAGAATTTGCCTACTTCCAAGGTATAAGTGCTCACACAAAAAATGGAATAATCAGCTCTTGGGAGTGCTCATTCTAACACACCCCTGAGTATCCTGGGCCCTCTTCTTTCTCATTTCCCTCTAAATGTTCTCTGTGGGTGAATTCAAGTCAGTAAGCATTTATTAATAGCCTCCTATGTTCGAGGCACTGTACCAAGGGCTGGGGATTTTTTTTAAACAGGCAAAAACATGGTCCCTGCCTTCAAGGAGCTATAATCTAATGGGGCAGTCAACATGTACAAACAAGATACATACAGAATAAATTAGGGATCATTAACAGAGAGAAGACATCAGAGTTAAAGGCTTCTTGCAGAAGGTGGGATTTTAGCTGAAACTTGAAGGAATCCTGGGAAGCCAGTTCCCATGGGTTCAATTATCGTCTCTATGCTACTGAGTCTCAAATCTACCTATCCAGCCCTAACCTCTCTCCTGACCTCCAGTCTTGGATCTGTAACTGCTTATTGGACTAATGAGGTCCAATGTCTGACTGATGGTGTTCCCTAGGCATCTTGAGCTCAACTGGTTCAAAATTGAACTTATTATCGTCCCCCATCACCACTGAAACCTTCTTTCTTCCAAATTTCCCTATTAGTGTTGAGGGCACCACCATCCTGGAAGTGACCCAGAGGCTCACAGCCTCTGTCTCATCCTCAATTCATCTCCTGCATTCACTCCATCTTTCTAATCTGTTGCCAAGGCTTGTTTCTGCCTCCTTCACCACATCTCTGGTACACCCCCTTTCTCATCACTCACATAGCCATCACCCCACTTCAGGTCTCCATTATCTTCTGCCTGTACTATTGCAATAACTTTCTAGTAGATATCCCATTCTCTTCCTCCACTAACCTTCCAAGATGAATTCCATAAAGGTTTGACTTCACCACCCTGCTCATTAAGCTCCAGAGGCTCCCTATTAACTCTAGCATCAAATATGAAATCCCTTATTTGGCATTTAAAGCCCTTCAGAACCATATCTTCCTACCTTTCTAGTCTTTTTGCTTCTTATAATTTACTCCCCTTTATATACTCTCTAATCCAGTTACACTGACCAGCCTATTTGCTGTTCTTCTCATATTGTGCTACATCCCCCAATTCTATGCCTTTTCACTGGCTTTCTCCCATGCCTGGAATGCTCTCCCTCCTCACTTTGCCTTCTCACTTCCCTGCCTTCCTTCAAAACTCAACTCAAATCCCACTTTCTTCTGCAGGATGCCTTTCCCTGACCTCCTCACCCTCTCTGCAGTGTCTTCTCTCCGATATTATCTAACATTTATGCTGTATACATCTTGAATATACATTTTTTTTTTGTGCGTAGCCTCCATTAGAATGTGAGCAGCTTGAGGGCAGCAATCATTTCTTTGTCTTTGTCTCCCTAGTGCTTAAGCACATAGTTGGTGCTTAATAAGTGCTTGATGAAACTGTCTGACACAGAGCCCCCAACAGGTTTGCTGGTCATATAGTTGGTAAGCATTAGAGCCAGGACACCTCCAGACCCCTGTCTCCAGGGCTCTATTTGTCACTGCACACTAACCCCTGCTCTACCTATCCTGTTAGGCCAATTAAAGGAAGTAGACTTGCAAACATTTTGAAAGCAGTTCTATAATACGTGTGAAGTAGCATTATTATTCAGATGATGCAGAAGAAAGGGCACTGGCCTGAGATTCTGGAAACTGGACTCTCAGTTTTGTTCTTCAATTGGCCACTTCTCCCTAAGCCTCAGTTTCCCCATCTATAAATGAAAGGTTTGGACTAGCTGGTCTCAAAAGCCCTTTCCAGCTCTAAATCCTCTGATCTCTAAGATCCCTTTCCTTCAATTCTGATATTATGTGATCTATGATCTTGTCAACCCTGCCCAAATCTCTGTTTCAGGGTCAGGACAAGGTATCTGTGTAACCCAGGAAATCAAGATTTGAAATTTCCACTACTCCTTGTATACCATAAATCAAAGACTTTGAGTCTTTGAGTCATATGTAGGTTGACATCCTGAAATAAATACCTTCAGGTCATGGAGAGCAGAATTTTCTGGCCCTTAAAATGTGCATTTCTAAGAGGTTGCATTAAACACAAACACCTCAACTGTCTCTAAATGTGACTGTCTTACCTACTCAAGTCCCAATTCTGTCCATTTTCTTTCATTCTTTTCCTCCTCCCTCATCTTGCTACTTTCTCCTTCTCTTAACCCGCCCACAATCATCTCTCCCCTGCCCAGGGATATGCTTAGAACCAGCTCCAACAGGAACCAATTGTGAAATTTTCAGTGGGAGCATTTACCCCTTGAAAATCTACAATATTGTTTTGTTGATTGTTTAGTCTTCAGAAAGTGGAGAAAATGTTATTAATGCTGACAAAAATGTGCAGTTCCATTTTTTGGACAGCTGATTGTTAAACATTTACCATTCGACCTCTGTCCCTAGCCCTATTGATAGACAGTGAATGTAAGTTTCAATTTTTTCAATAAACAATAGCTCTCATTCAAAAGCACTTTAAGGTTTGCAGGTGTTTTACATAGGTTATCTCATTTGATTCTCATAACAACCCTGTGAGGTAGATCTTTCAAGGAAAGACTTGAAAATGAAGACAAAATCATGGCCTCCAGTATCAAAGAGTGGGACCTTCACCACCATTGAAAGCCAGTGACAAGAGAGTGAATAAATTGTTTTTATCCCAGCTTCCCTATTGATTTGCTGTGTGAACCATAGCATCATCTAACCTCTCTGGGCCTCTGTCTCCTATATGTAAAGTGGAAAGAATCATCTTTGCTCCTAGTCTGCCTCCTGGGCTGGAGTCTATGGGCCCCTGAGCTCAGTTAGTTAAAGCATAAGTGCTAAAGGCCAGAGGGGCTCCTTGGGCTCCTAAAATGGTCAAATAGCTTAGCTCTGTTTTGAGACCATGGACAGCACCTGAACCAATCACCGTATCACAGAGAAATGTGTCACACTAATCCTAGCTGGTGAGAATGGGAGAGGGAGCCAGATGAGAAATGCAGGTAACTACAAGTCAACCAAACCCATAGAGTCAATCAGAGAAGGCTTAGTCAGAAGACTTTATTAGCCAGGAGATCTTGGACCAGTCACTTTGCTTTTCTAAGCTTAATTTACTCATCTTGTGCTACCCTTTTTCACTGGAGTGTTACAAGGATAAACTGATGAGATCATGGCTACAAAGTGCCTTATGACCCAAAAACTCAGCTCAGTGTAATGAGTAGTCCCAAGGTGTTTGACAATTTGCATGTTTTACCTACATTAGCTCATTTGAGCCTCAGAACAACCCCAAGAGGTAATACTAGGATTATTATCCCCGTTTTACAGATGAGGAAACTGAGGAGCTCTAAAAGTTGACTTGCCCCTGGTCAGTGGGCAAATATCAGAGTAGGATTTGAAATATAGAGTAGAATTAAGTATCAGAGGCAGGATTTGAACCCAGATCTTCCTGACTCTAAATCCAGTACTTTTATCCACTGTCACAAAGACTTACTAGCTAAGACTTTGTCAGTACTTATTTACTACCTGTATGACCTTGGGAAATTCATCTAATCACTCTGGGTCCAGAAGTCTCTTCACCTGTCAAACAAAGGAGCCAATGAGCTAAATGGGTTCCTTCTCACAAATGATCTATAATTCTAGATCTAAGTCATCGACCAGTCCCCACTTAGATTCATCTACTTAGATGAATTTCCATGCTT